AGCCGAACCCGGTTCTTGAATGGCCCATTCCCCGGCCTGCCCCACTTTGCCCGCTTCCCCTAAACCTACATTCTTTCCCTGCTCCTGGGGCTTCTGCTCCCGCTTCCGGAGAGCGCCCAGCCAGTCCACATCCCCGCTGGGCTTCTGGCTCCGAATGTAGGAGGGACCAGAAGGAGGCCCCATCTTCCCCACGGGGTAAAGGGCAGAGGGGAACCAGGCCCCAGGAGGCAACTCAGACAGACTCTTGTTTAGACAGCACCATTTAGAGCCTTAGAAGAGGCCTCACCCACTGAGAAAACGTTTATTGAGCTGCTTCTGCATGCTCCGCCTAGTATTTCGGAAAATAAGAGCCAGGAATGCCTTCAGTGCTTTCATAGTACAGATAAGTGAACATGTTCAGAGAAGGGAGGGTATTTGCCTAAAGTCACTCCACTAGTAACCTGCATAGCAACAGCTACTATTTGGGCGTGCCTCCTGGGGGACCACGCAAGGTGCTTTTCCTGGGTCATGCCATATCTAATCCTCACAATCCTGTTCATTCTTTCAACAGATATAGATATAGATACTGAACGTCTACCATGTGTCAGGCCCTAGGCTCAGTGCTAAGAATACAGTGATGAGCAAGCTGCATCTGGTCCCTGCCCATTGACTCCACTGGGCTTAGCAGTAAAGATAGAGGATATAAATCACAGCGCATCCCTTGAGGCAGCACTATGATCTTCAATTTCTGGATGTAGAAACTGAGACTAGATAATTTACTCAGTCATCTAGAAAGAAAGTAGCCAATCCAGGACTAGAATTCATGTTCTGGGTTCTTTTTCACTGTAAAGATTAGGAAGATGTGGGTGGAACCAACTTACAGAGGCCCTTGAAATTCCAGCTAAGAAATTTGGTCTAAATTCTATGGTTATGAGCAGCCAAGGGAGGTGGAAAGCAGAAGACTGAAAGTAACCCAGGGACAGGCACAAGATGGGTGTGGATGGTTATGCTAGAAGACTATTGCAATAGTCCCAGCAAAAGGTAATGAAGCTCTGATCCCAGAAAGGAACAGTAGGGAGGGGAAGGGGGGATTTCCACCCACTGAAACCTTCTAAATTTCTGTCTGCATGCATTCTGTCATGTTAAATAAAGGAAAGGAACTACCATTACTAAATTTCTGCTAAATTTCACTAGGCAATGCCCCCAGGGAATTTTGTGTATATTGTCCTGTTAAATCCTCCCCAGAACCCCGTGCAGTAGGTAATTTTATTATTCTCATTTTACAAATAAGGAAAGAGACTTTGAGAGATTAAAGGACTTGCTGATGCCCACAAAGCAAACTAGTGTTGGGGCTCGGGTTAGAGCCCAGGCCTCTCTCTAAACCTCATGCTGTAGCCTTTGCTCTCTACTGTCTGAAGCTAAGACAAAGAACCAGTCTTTGATTCAGCCAAGCATTCTTTACCTTGGATCACAGGTACTTTTAGACTTCCAGAGAAAGGTCAGGGGTCCACAAGTGTAACCCAAAGTGTAGCTGGGCCAGTAGCGCAGGCCCCTGTGTGGGACATCTCTCCACAGAAGCCTGCAGAGGCCTCAGCCCAGGAGAATTCTGCAGCACGTTTCTAAAGTTCCTGTGGGGATGGGTGAGAAACCGTGAAGCAGAAGCAGAAACACAAATAGCCTTCTCAGTGAGAGAGGAACATGGGTGCCAAGGGGAGGGCAAACTGAAAGCGTGACAAGGGTGCAGGGAGGCTGGGTATGATACTGAGTGTCCGCGGAGGCTGGGACCGGTGGCCCAGGGCTCTATAGACAGGACCAGCAGGGGAGAGTTCATGAGGCAGGGCTGTCTAATCACCTAGGAAGCCTGCGGTCCCAGCCTCTTTGACTGGAGAGCATCGAAAGGTTTGCCTCTTCTCAACCTCATTGTCCTTCCCAAATCTGACCACCAGTCCGGTC